TTTTGTTTCTTGATCCCAAACAACTCGGGAATCTTGAGTAGCCTATGAGTTAGAGTTGCCTGTGATTTTCTGCCTGTGAGTTTTCAGATGTAATTCAGGCAGTAAGTGTTCAGTTAATCTTTCTCAAAGGAGTGGAGATCTGCATTAACTGTGCATTAGAATCCCTTTGTGGAGAATCGAGGCACTTTATTTCTGATACATTTATTTTTCCCCTTGAGGAGTCAAAAGAGATCTATAGATCTTTTGGGGAAGTGGCTGGCTTTATAAATTATTGAGGCATAACTGCAATAATTAGCTGGCTTTTGTCAGCACCAGGCTCCATATATAGCAGAGCGCTAATCTCTTACTGTTTTTCAGTGCTTTTGTCTCCTTATTAGATTACATCTCTATGATTGTTTTTGATCACTTTATAATGAATATTGTATTAGAGAGTGCTAAGTAGACTAAAGTCAACATCTTATTTATTTCTTTAGGATTAAAATGTATCTTTATAAAGACACTCAAAGACTGGAAAAATCCAATGTTTTCCAAACAATTAGATTCTGCAGATTAGGACAGTCTTTGGTTGTACAAGATACTACTCTGATATTATTGGGCATAGTAGATCCATGTGAAGCTGTTTCAGATCCAAATTTGCTCACAAAGACAATTCATCTTTGTCTTCTATCATCTATTGTTTGCTTCAGGGGATGGTAAGAAGGATTTTAGTCCTGCTTTACAGATAAAGAAACTCAGCAGTGAGAGTGGAACATATTTATCAGACATCTTGGTGCAGGCCAAGCAAAGCAAGAAATGTCACTATAGAACACGGATATCCTAACTATTAGAAGCATGGGAAAAGTTGGGTAAAGATGGATCTGCATTTTATTTAATTAACCAGACTTAGCTTTTGAGAACCTCCGGCTGAGAAACTAACCTGATTCTTGTCAGCATACTAATAGCTGCAAGCGTCTCACATGTGACTCACTACATCCACTCTCATGGCTTTTCTCCATTGCTTTTTGTGCTATTCAGTGTTAGCTCAGTTTAGCATACTAAAAACTCCTAGACCATGTGCAATTTATTTTCTGTGGCAGATGGAGCTAGGTTTGCACATTGCAAGGCTGATCTTGCTGAGCGTGGCTGTGTAACATTTCGGTGGTTTGCTCCTCCAGCCACCATGCTCCAACTGGCCAGAGGAAATAGCTGTGAGCAATCTGCTGGCCAACCTTGATATGGTAGAGGGTAAAGAGTCAAATGTCAGCTATGATGCCCTGTAGCCCCCTAAAGCATCTGACAGGTAAAGATGAGGCCCATGAAACATTGGTTAGTATGTGCTGAATGGAGCCTCCAACTTGTGTATCTCGTTTGGATGCTTTTCTACAGCATTGAACGGACACTGAATCCCAAACAGCAGAGCCACTTGTCACTATCATCAGAGCAATTCTTTCAGTGCAGAAAGCCTGCAAAATGAATCAAAATGCTGCACTCAAACTCTTGAAAGCATTTCACACACCAAGCATTGCTCTGCTTAACACATTTCAAACTACAGTAACTGCTAATAAGATAAAAAGCAGTGACAAATCAGAGAGTATTGCCTCCAACAATCATGCATGACTTACCATGGCAAACAAATCCAATCTGAGGAAAGAGAAAGCTCGGCGTCCGTATTGGGCCTCCTGCTGCAGCCTTTTATGCTTTTTATTTTTATCCCGTTTGTCAAAATAACAGCCCTTTATCACCACTGATTGCAGAGATTTTGACTCCTCGCCTGCTGGGTTCTCCCTTTGCTCCATAGGGGTTTCCTAATTGAATATTTCCCCTGTGACTAGAAAAGCTTTGAATAAGAATAGGAAAGAAAATTATTAGCAGAGTCTTGAAAACTCCCCTGAACCTTCCACCCTGGTCTTGCTCACAAGTTGTTTTTCTCTCCTAAAAGTGCAGAGCATTCTTCTTTCAGTGAGCAGCCTCAGCTGTTTTTCTGAAGCTGGTTGCATCTGTTATATGCTGAACATTGTAAATGAACTGCAGCAGATCCTAACGTGGTGGGGAGTGAAAAGAGAGACTCATTCCACATAAGTTATAGGAGGCTAGTGGCTTGGCTGGAGTCACCAGTGCTTTCTTTCTCGCCTTTCTGAGTCAAAAGCAAGGAACTATTGACTGCCTGTGTTGAGATCTTGCACAAGCAACTTTCTGCCCATGTACTGGTGGATAGCATGGGATTTGGTGGTTGGCTCAGAAGTTTGAATGCATTTAAGGATGAATGGTATACTCCCTTTCCTGGCACTGTTATTCCTACTAAACCACCTGTAGTTTACTGAAGGACAGACCAAAATCTTGTGTTTTGGCTCTCAATGGAGCTGGTGTTTTGGATTGAGACAGAAGAGGAGTTTATTTGCCAAGTTCTTATCCTGACTGTGCCAGCACAGTGCACAAGCTCACATTTTCTCCTGTTTCATCAGAAGCGACTGCTCAGGTGTTCTCACTGCACCCCTTAGCAGAGGGGTCAAGAAAAGCTTCAACACCAGCTATGCAAAGTGGTACCTGCCTCTCTTGCATGTGAGCACACAAACAAAAGATGTCCATGAGGCTGTTGTGCACACCTGGCTTTGTCAAGTCAAGGCAGACTTTTCTAGAAGAGGAAATATCTGCTGTATTGTTCCCTGAGATTTCTCAGCTAGGTGTTGCCAGAGTTTCAGAAAGCTCTCTACCCCTTTCCACACACACAAAAAATTGTAAAATGGATGGGGAGGATGGATGAACAAGGAGGGAATCAGAGGGGATAGATAAGCATCAGAAGGACTTAAAAGGTCTGAAAGGAAATTCCCCTCTCAATGTCAGTACTTCTTCACTCTTAATACCATCATTCTTTTTTTTTCTTATTTTTAAAGGTGGTTTTGTTCTTCAGATACTCATGGAACAGAAATAGTCACAAATGTTGCTTGTTTTTTTTAAGTTGCATTAGCTCGCAGTAATGACAAAACCCAAGGTCAGGCCAGTAATATGCCATTGAGGAAGAGCAGACTGTACATTTTGTTCCAGCTTTCTGACTTTCAGGGTTGTGCATCTTTCAGTGCTTTTCCCATATAATTTTCCAAATATGTGCAGCAGGTTGGTGAATCCAGTTGTTACCCAGCTGCATGTGCTGCAAGAAGATTGTAGCTGGGAGTCACCTCTCTTTGTAAGACTAAATAAAAGGCCACTCCTCGGTACCAGCCTTCTAAAATCATCTGCTTCCTTATCAAGTGACCTGCTGCTGAATTTTAGTTTTGAAGTAAAAAGATCTTGAGAGGAGTGCCTGTTAGGGATAATTAGGGATAGCACCTGTGGTGCTCTCTGTAGATCCATAACAGAAGGTTAATTTCTAATTCCTTGTACAAACCAGCTGTAAGAGATGTATTTCAGCAAGTTTCCTTCTGTGTGTACTTTGGTCTGCAAAGCCAATACTGACAAAGCAGAAAGAAAAGACCCAAACTGAACTGAATCGTCACTAGATGATTCACCACACTCAGGTCTTTTCAGGTGGGTAGACAGCATGGGATTTTGGATGCAGGATGGATTCCACCGTCACCCAAGGAGGAGGATGTCCTGGGTGAGGGTGTCCTACAGCAGCAGGCTGAAACTGCTGTGGACAGTCAGGTTTTGGAGAATCACCTGGACAGATGAGTCTGCTCCTATCTGCATGAGGGTAGGAGGCAGGTCATGATTGCTTCTGGGAAGCTGACATCCTATTCTTCAGAACTGCTTCTGTCCCTTATCTGAGCAAGGCAGCAATGCCTTTGGCTTTGTAGGGTGCTATCATAAGTAATGTGAGAGAAGGAGGTCCTGGGCATTTAGCTACCTCTGAGAGCTTGGTGCCAGCTTTCATTGTGCCTGGAAACAGCCCTGGCTGTAGGCAGTAAAACATGAATCATTCCTTTGTAAGTGAAGCAGCTGTGACAGAACTAGGTACAGAGACTAAAGGTGGGACTGGAGCTACTTGAATTCCCACAGCCGCCCTTTAGGGTAACATGCCTCTTCTTATGAGGCCCCATCAGGTATGTGGAAGAGCACAGCAAACATGCTTCACACTGTGTGGTTGAATATGCTGAGTGGCAGAGAGATGGTTAAAGGCTGTCGCAGAAGCATGTGCAGCGCTGTGTCACTGCTGTTCAGTAAGCACAGCACTGGGCAGCAAGATATTAATAGTTGTGCTCATCACGGCTGCTCCGGGAGCCACCATAATCTCAGCATGAGCTAACAGGCAAGCCACAGACCACGAAGCAAAAACTTCAGGCCCAGAAGGCAGCAAGGAAACTATGAAATAATTAACAAAAGAGGGAGTATATATATATTTTAGTAGGTGTTATTTGTGAAAACGCCCCTGCATTAAACGCAATCTAAATGAGGTTTTGCACCTGAGCCAGAGAGCAGTGTTCCAGCTCACTCTGCATACGCATGTTTTTGTGAACAGATCAATTAAAGTTTTTGGCATGCAGGTGCCTAATAAATATTGTATGGGCTGGAATACGTTCATCTCTTTTTGATACAAATCCATGTCTTCATTAAGGTTCATGTGTGCTATGATTTAATTCTACAAGTCATGTTTTTAGAAATTGCTGGCAGACTGAATTTTTATCAAAAGCGCTGATCAAAAATGTGTGTGCATTTAGTTTGACAGAGTCCTCAGATAGTTGGTAATTTCCAGTGAAGTCGGTGATAAAATAGTATATCTCAATTATTTGCAGATGCCAAACACTTACATAAATACATATCTGATTTTAGTGTGTGAAGTGTATTGACAGTTTCCTGAAAGTACCAGTGCTACAATCATTACTCTCAGATAGGCAAGAAGAAGAAAACACTATTAGTGCATTCCCACAGAGAAAAACGGTACATTTTGGACTAAGTAGCTATTGAAGACCTTGAAGATAATATATGTAGGACATAATATTTGAGTAAATATCACAATGTTTGTATGTGAGTATTATGCAGCGCAACTACGAGAAACCTTCACTGTTAAACGCTTATATCTTCATTAGATCCTGTGAAAAGTCTGAAGTATATTTCCAGACATCTCTCTATCATCACTTTACAGCATTTGGATCACTTGTATTCAGAAGGTACGTAAACAGCTTTAGCTGGTTCATCCTTTAGCTGGTATTTTTAACAAATATAATGCCACAGGGCATTCCTCTTGTCAGAACCTATTTATTTTATCATCTGTTATTATGGTTGTATTATTTTCCTCAAATATTCCACCCTCATGATATGCTGAATTATCAGATTTTCAACAAATGCTTGTGATGCAGTTACTTATAATGCAACTTTTTATCAAAATTTACAAAAAGAAAACAAATCAGTTATGAGTTATGGTCCTTCTACATAGGTAGAACTATAACTGAAGTTAGGCCAAAATATTGTCAGAAATATTAAAAAAAAAAAAAAGTATAATTAAACACGAAAATCCTCACATAAACAGTAAAGATAAAGCCATAGCTTACTTATTTTGATTTTTCCATTTTAATTAAGAATAACAATTCTAATTTATAGGAAATGTTATTGCTGATTTATTTGTTTTAATTCAAGGTGTAGAAAAAAAATGGAAAAACCATTTCTACCTTAGAAAAAAGGGGACTTGAACGTGAGCTCTCACCCTTTCAAGATGTCTTATTAATCAATCCCCAGTGCTATTTCTATTACTGCTTTAACATGAACCGTCACTGGGAAAAAGAAAGAAGCAGGTACTTGAAATCCTGTCTCCCACATCCTACCTTACCAGCACTTCAGCTGCAAGGGTAATAACTTATGTTTAGTGTTTCTCATTTGTTTCCCATTCTCTCAGCTTTCTAATAAGGTTTTGTCAAAATTGTTCTTGTTTTTATTTTTATTTTTTTATGTTATTTCATTGTGCTCACTCTCTAAATACAACATCATTTTGAAATATAGCCAGACTAGGAAGGAAATATATCAGCAGTGCAGCTTGTAAACTATCTTCAGTCAGGTTTATCAGAAGAGAAAGCACAGGGTTATGAAAGAATGAAAATTCAGAAACAGAGTCTTTCTGAATCACCGTGATCCTCTGGAAATAGCTTATTTGTAATGAACAGGAAAAGTGTAATTTAAGTAATGAATATAGAATTCACTTAAATCTTGTGTCGATAACTTCATTCCTAATGTGATTAATATACTGTAAATGTTGTCATGGTTGTGAAAAAGACCACCAATCCTTTTATGATGAGTGATAGGCACAATGAGCCAAACCTGCCTGGACCAAAACCTGGACAGCCTGGCTGCAGGAGAGGTCCTGTCAGCAGAGCTGTAAGTGCGAGCATGGGAGATGCCCTAAACAAGCACCAAACAACCACAACTCTAATCCAGTGCTTGACCTTATAAGCAGGTCAAGGGGTTATTGGTCTCCTACCTGGAAAATGTATTACATGCATATACTTAAACGTTGTCATTTTATGGCTGTTTTGTCAGTTTGCTACAGGCAGCATGAAAATACTGGGAAAAGCAAAGTGTGCAATGATATCAGAGCCAAGTGAACAATGCAGAAACGGATCCTGGGTGCCTGGATCTCTAACCATGACTGCAAAGCACAAAGGCTATGTCAAAGGTACTGTAAGGCTACATTTCTGGGCAATCCAGTCTCTAGCCTCTGCTACCAAAAAACATTCCCATAAGCAAGAAGAATTGTTTTGAATGTGCTGTGTTTTTTGTTTTGTTTTGTTTTGTGTTGTTGATACTGCCATCCTTTAACTTCCCAAACACGTGCTGTTGGATTCAGGAGAAGTGCAGCAGAGGACAAATGAGGATGTGTCCATACGGGGCAGCGTCTCTTTGGGTGGAGGATGATGCATGTGGCTGGCAGCATCTGGCTTTGTGCAGATGCCATGCATGGGCATGGTCCCTGGGGACTGACGGGAGAGGGGCTGTCACCATCTGGAAAGGGGCAGGGGATCTGGCAAATGCCTTCCATCCTTCCTTCAGTTGCATATCCTTTTTTTTTTTTTCCCAGAAGAAAATTTTCTCTAGAAGATTATACAAGCCCTAAATATTCACCTGTTAGCAACATCAACAACAAAAAATTAATAGTGTAGATATATTAATACCAGTAACTTAGATTGATGTCAGTCCTTTCCATACCTTATGCACTAGGCAAGGAAAGGCAAAGCAAGGCAAGGAAAAGCAAGGCTATCAAGCTTCAGCCAATCCCTCTGAGCAAGGCTTGCTGATATGTGGTGTTAGCCAACAAGGGAAGAACAGCCACAGAGCTACTTGACCTATTCACCTAAAACTCCAGAAAAATTGAGGAGTTTTCCAAAGAGAAGGAAATTGCTACTTTTTCTGCTACTGGAAAGGGAAATGTTGAACTAAATAAAAAGTTAATTCTGGGTTTCTACCCAGAATTCCTCCCACAACAGTTGGATAGGGGAAGTGAATATACAAGAGGCACAAAAAAGGGATCCCATTTTTGGCAGGAAAGCAATACCTCATGTACTCCAGCCTCGATCTTCTGTCTTAAAGGGAGAAGGGCAAATGCCTGGTACATCTGTCTGCTAACATGTAATACTGTTTTCTTGTTCATTTGTTTTGTCCCAGCATTCATGGATAGACTCCCCTACATGGCTGCTAAAGAAATTTGGAATCATGAGAGCAGGACTAGCCTTTTCCCAAGGGGCTGGAGAGACCTTTGCCTGAAGGCACCTGAGATCTGGAGAATAGCCTCCAATAGTCTTGGAGAATTGACAGAGGCCTCTGGGGTGCCCTGCTTAGCTGCTTTGAGGTAAAAAAAAAAAAAAAAAAAAATGCAGCCCAACTGTTTTTGCTCTGCCTTTTATCTCTAACTACCTGGGGACAGCTTGTTCTGTGCTTGAGTCCATACCTTTCCTGCCTGCAGACAGGTCATACAGCATTTTCACAACTCCACTGCAAACCATAAACTTGGAAGAGCAACTCTCCTTTTCTGTGTAGCTGTGCAGCAGTTACCAGTTGATGAAGACGTGTCAGCAGACTTCAGCAGACCAGGCAAGAGAGACGTTTATTTACTGTAAGATAAACTGCAAAAGGAGGAAAAAGGAGTTAATTGCTGCTAAAATTGCTTCTGGTAAGGGGAGTGTTTTGTTTCTCCTGTAACTAGTTACTGTGTTTCTGCAACTGAGGCTGCACCTGCCATAGCAGAGTATTCCTGGGTACTCTAGAAACTAGTGCAGAATTAATTTCAAAGAAATAACAAGACGTGGGGAGCTGAAGGCTATTGCTGTCATTGTGAAATCCTGTTTTTGTGCAAAACTAATCAACGTGGCTCAGCCTTTGAGTATAAAGCTTCCAATTAACTTTTCCATCAGAAGATGCTAGAAAAGACATGTCACATTTTGGAAATCCGCTAAGTACGATGCACAGGAGAGATAAATTCAAATCAAATTCAAATCACAAAGAATCCTGACTCTGGGGCTGAAGGGTTATGTGAGGCAAACTACTGAAGCCTACTGAGCCCCTTTGTCCCAAGGAGGCTGCCAGAGAGTCTCCTTGGCTGTCAAATGAAGCAGGGAAGAAAGTTGTGTTGTTGACTCTTTGAGTTGATTGCTGAGAGAACAGGGGTAATTTCCTCACACTTGACAAAACAGACACAGAAGGGTAAGAGACAGGGTAGCAAAAAGTAGGGAAGCATGATTTTGCACTCATGTTTTCAGGGTACGTGGCAGCTGGTCAGTCACAGATGGATGCTCTGGGCTGGCAGGTCGACCATGACAGCTGTTGCTTTAAACCTTGGCTTGCTTCCCTTGTCTGCAACCTCATCAGGACAGGTTGAATAAAGCTCTTAGGCTAGGCCTCAGTGAAGCTCTGGGCTCTGGCATTGGTGTGGTTCAACACAGTTCACTGGACAAGACAGGAATGACAAGAGAGGGAACAGGAGGAGGTGGGAGGGGTGAAGAAGGATGTACAGCCATGGGATGATGGAGCAAGAGCTTGTGCAGCTCAGGGCATCCAAGCTGGATATCCCAGCAGCTGAGACTTGTGCAAACAGGTCAGAGTTATCCAAGCGCTTCCAGCCTTATGCCAGCACATCCTGCAGCAGCTCTGCATCTCTTTGTTCTGGTCCATGGTGTTGTGTTTCTTTTTGTATGTGTACATACAAAGCTCCTCAGACACTAAACTGATGACTGGCATAATTAAAGAATTATATATTCAAGTCACCAATTATAGCTTTTTTTCTTTTTCCCTCACATAAAGGTTTTGATAATACTGCTGTCCTTAAAATTCAATAGCTTATTGTGTTTAAATTATCCTGTATTTTTCTCCTCTTTCTACTCCTTCTGTCAGTAGCTGATAGAGACTGTCGTAGCATGTGATGAACTTTCACTGATTTCCTACAGGTGAGCTAGCAGGTCAGTAGCATCGATTAATTCCAGTATTCTTTCCCATACCACATTAGTGCTACTTAAAATCAGCCACTTGTTCATAAAATTACAGCCACAGAAGGAAGAAATAAGGAAAATGCAACCGATAGCTCTGTATTCCTCAGCCCAGACCCACCCCCCCCCCAAAAAAAAAAAAAAAAAAAAAAAAAAAAAAAAAGTTAATTACCAAACCTCAATGAATGTCCATTTTCCCTCCATCTTTTGAGCCCTGCATCCCTAGATCCAGCAGCTGCTGTCCTGATGCCACCAGGCAGGACTGGCTAAATGATCAGGGTTTTTAAGTCTCAGCTTATAGGGGTCTAAGCACATGATATGCACCTTTGCAGTGAGGAATGTAACGGGGGGGATGTCTGATGTGAAGCCATTGCTAAAAATACCAGCTAGCTGTGCTTCCTGAGTAGGAATTCTCACGAGGAGAAACTTCCTCCTGTAGGTGTAGAGCTGCAGCTTCGTTATTGCTTTGGGACCACAAGAGCAACTGTGAGCACCTGTGGCAGGGAAGATGTAAGGCAGAGACAAGTAAATGAACCTTCTCTTGGAGGTATAAGACATTGATGTCCCATGTGTCGACCCCTGCAGAACAGAATCAGGAGGTATCTGTGCAGACTAAGCTCAACGTGTTTTATTCTGGATTTCTACTGATGTCTGAGAGCATATGCTGCTGAACAGAAGGAGCACTGTTGCCTCCAGGAAATTCCAAAAAATTTCTGGATCACAGCGAAATCATGACTGGGAAGTCTTGAAAGTGGTTTGCTTCAGTACTCTGTGACAGGGGACAAATGCATCTGTGGTGTACTTACTTCCTCCTCCTAAAAGGTCACCTGTTCCACTGCTCTGGTTGTATGAAATTGCTGGGGTATAGGCACAATCACAGTCAATGTCTTATAAAAAGATTACGTGGATGCCAATCTGCATATGAAACAGTGCTACAACATGTTTAGTATCGAATGAAACAATGTTCACAGTCTTGTGCTGGTTTGGAATTGGAATATATTTATTAATTTATATTATTTAAAACATTCTTTTTTTTTTTTCTTTTTTTTTTTTTACAGAAATGCACTCATTAAAGATAGAACATTCTGTATGGCTGAAAAAGAATAAAAGTATTCTTAGCAATTAATTTTTAAAATGGGGTACACATATATCTAATGCACGTATGCATAATATTTATATAAATTCATTTGTATGTCTTTATTATATATGCAGATTTTAACATGAGTATTCAACAATGACATAGTGGCTTCAGTTCAAATAGCATGAGCAAATTCCATTTGAAAGCACAGACTAGAGCAAAATACAGTATTTGGTCTCATAAACCTGAGAAAATATTCCAGTTAAAAGGAAATGAGGAGCCAAAGCTTTTCAGCATTTGGAAAATGCAACATATCATGTAGCTAATTTACTCTGCACAAATGAGCAGCATTTCCTAGAGGGCAGGGCCTCTCTCTAGGCTAAAACATGCACAGATTAGACCAAGCTCGCATTTAAGAGAAGGCAAATTCATTTAGAAAAACATTATTTTTTCCTTGTATAAAGAAGACAACCTCTGGAATGCGCACACACACACACACACACACACGAGTCTTCTGCTTTCATTATGCATGCTTTTTGCTGTGCTGGGAGTCAGGAGCTAAGCAGTGCATTTCATTGCTGCTCCGGCCCTGGCCCCCAAGGCACTTGAGGAGATCCTGAGAACCCGTCAGCTCCTTGGGGGATGCTGCTGAGATGAGGGGCCAGTTTTGCAGCTTAGCACGGCTATAATAAAAATGGAACAGCAACCTGGAATTCTTTGGAGAGCAAAGTGGATAAGCTGGCCCTGATGACAGCAGAGATTTGTGCCTGTAGCATGTGTTACAGCCATGCTGCCCTGCAGGTACCTGCTCTTCACCCAAATATGCATGAGCTGCTTGGTGTGGCTGCCCTGAGGAGCTGCCCAATTAAGGGGGTGCAGCTTCCACTTTGCCCTCTGTTGAGAAAAGCACACGAGGGATGATCAGCTCCTCCCTCTGTGACTTCAGAGCTCTGTTGACAAGAAAAATAAGTCATCAATGTTTCAGTTTGGCAAAGCTTTGGCTAGGCACCAGGAGAATGATGCTTCCCACAAAGGAAAGCCTCCTTTACCCTTTCTCTGCAGGTTTTGTGTGGAAAATGTATTTCTTTATTTAAAAGTAAACCTAGATTAACTTTTGGGAAGAGAATAAGAGGGTTTTGTTTAGGCACATGTATAAGAATTTCTTCAGGGTATACAGCTCTCTATGGCAGATTGTTGTGCCAGGTTGTGTGTAAGACTGCGCCTGCTGAGGCTGTGCTTTTCTCAGTTTTATTTTCAGTAGTATCCGTAGAAAATCTTTGCCAAACCAGCCTGTGGTGCCAACTGATTTTCTATGTATGGCCTGAAGTGCTGGGCTGTCGAGGGTTTTGTTTAGGCACAGGGAGGAGAAAAACTTCATTTCGGGTCATGCACAGCATCCCCGGATCCTCTCATTTCTCTGAGCTTTCGGGAAATGAACATCCTTGGTCTTGGGTTGTGTCACCTGTAATGAGGAGAAGAGCAGCTCACAATGCAGGCAAGACATTCACATGCATGTGCCTAGCACAGAAAGAATATTTCACATTTCATTTAGAAGGACAGAACTTAGATTTGGGTACCAAGCACTGCCAGCACCTTTCTACTCACTGCCTTGTGAGTAGAAAACGGCCATGAAATTGTCTTACCAGTACTTCATGCAAGTTTAAACATGGTAGTGATAACTGTAGGATGTGACAGATGGGCATCAAGTATACAGAGTTTTAGGGCAAGTGTATATTATGCGGGGCTGCACCAGGGAGATGACTGAAGATTAAAAGTTGTCTAGATTGCATGGGCTCCAGAGTAGACTAAAACACCCAAGTATTTACGCCACTTGTTTATGACTTAATCTCAGTTTCAGAGCCTCAGTGTTCTGCCTACCTATGGAAGCAGGATGAAACTCACTAAGATTTTTATTTTCCTATAGGGATTTTCTGGCTGGAAAAAGGGAAAAAAAAAAAAATCAAATGTGCTGCAGTATATTATGTAACTTTTTTTTTTTTTTTTTTTTTTTTTTTTGTCCAAGATGAAAATGTGTTGATTCTTTCCTGTTTCATAGGCTGGCCTTACCAGCTGCTGGCTTCCCCACTTTTATTACAAAGCTCTGCCACTTTAATTTCATTCTTTCTCTGTGCTATATCATTCTCTCACTTTGTGAAGTTTTTTCCAAGTGGACTTCATTCTCTTTAAATGAATCGACTGCTTTCAGCTTTAACCTGATCGAAGCTGTGATTGTGTGTAGTTTACCTGCAGCATGAAGAGGAAAAAATCAGTTTGCTTGGTAGAGATCTGAGGAGATCGTTTAGCCTGAACTGTCTCTACTCCCGGGACTTCCTTAAGTAAGACTGCTGACAAGTGGAACATCGCTTTGTTTACTCATCTGCATTTTTTCTTCTGTCTCTTTTAATACTATCCTCCCCAGGTCTATCTGTCAAGGTTATAAACTACCATTCTGAGATGTGCTTCGTTTGCTGCTGCAAATAGTTACCAGGTTCTGCAACATCCTGCACTATTTCTTCATTCCTTGCAGACACAAGGTGGTACTTTTTTTTCCCAACAGTTGTGCTGTTTTTTAGCTGAGAGCTTTCCATCAACACAGCTGCTTTCTGTGCAGCTAGAAACATTTGAAAGCATAAGGCTTATGTATAGCAGCCAGAGCCACTTGCGAGAGGTGCTTCATGGCCCATTAACAAAGCTGTCATATATGGCTTGCCTTTAATTAAATATTGATAGGGATTTAGTCTTGGTATAGCATTTCAGGATAATATGGAAAAATCCTTTTAATCTGCATAACAGATCAACGTGCCACTACACTGCTTACCCCTATACTTCTGGCTGGCTGAAGATGACATACACAAAATGAGAAGGCTGCTCAGCTTCCAGTGCCAGCTGAATCCCTACTGTCATCATTAAGACCATAATTAAGGATGCCAGTTAATGTCAATGGCAGTTTATATGAATGGAGGCTTATCCAGTACGGGATTTTCATTCCCATGATGAAAATCACCAACCTGTTTCACAACAGTTTATCAATATAGTGTTTTGTGTTGTTTTTTTTTTTTTTTTTTTTTCCTGATTTTAATCTATTTTTGAAAAAATTACGACATCTGCAAAAGTCTCACAGCTCAATATTGACCTTATGCAATTCAATAAATAAATAGTTTTCCAATTGAATGGTTATCATCCTGAGAATTTCATTGCACACTGCCCACTCCCTTGTCTATCCAAAAGATTGCACATTTCTGGAATGCTTGCCTGTAAGTTGTCTTTGTGTGCAATCGCCAAAATTGCCGAAGGGTTTTAAGTGCCTTAGATGGTCAATGCCATTGTGTATAGGAAAGACAGGTAACTACTTTTTTTAAGCTGTAGCCTTTGTATTTAGAGATTATTTCACTTTTAGGCCTGCCTTATTCCATTAGTCTTTTAATAAGTACTTGTAACTAGTGAACTCTAAGCTTCCTTTTATTACTCAAATAAGAAAAAAGCAAAAAAAAAAAAAAGAGAAAAAAAAAGATAATGTGCTGACTGTCAATTTGAGGGCAGTATTTAAGACTTCTTTTCAGTTTTTAAGAACACATTTCAGGCTCAGGAGACATTCCACAGAATCAGCAAATTCTGACAAGTATGAATGATTCACTTATGCTGTATTTTTCTATTGTGTGGTGCTCATTTCTTCTGATACTCAATTTTACCGGCAAAATTGTCT